CTCATCTCCTGCTCACCTGCTCCTTGTGTGCTCCATGCACCTCACCTTCTGTCCTCCTGATCCTCCTGTGCTCCATGTACCTCATCTCCTGTTCTCTTACTCCTTGTGTGCTCCATGCACCTCATCTTCTGTCCTCCTGATCCTTGTGTGCTCCATGTACCTCACCTTCTGTCCTCCTGATCCTTGTGTGCTCCATGCACCTCATCTTCTGTCCTCCTGATCCTTGTGTGCTCCTTGCACCTCACCTTCTGATTGGCTCCTTGTGTGCTCCATGCACCTCTCACCTTCTGTCCTCCTGATCCTTGTGTGCTCCATGCACCTCTCACCTTCTGTGCTCCTGATCCTTGTGTGCTCCATGCACCTCATATTCTGTCCTCCAGATCCTTGTGTACCCCATGTACTTCACCTTCATTCCTCCAGATCCTTGTGTGCTCCATGTACCTCACCTTCTGTCCTCCTGATCCTTGTGTACCCCATGTACCTCACCTTCTGTCCTCCAGATCCTTGTGTGCTCCATGTACCTCACCTTCATTCCTCCAGATCCGTGTGTACCCCATGTACCTCACCTTCTGTCCTCCTGATCCTTGTGTACCCCATGTACCTCACCTTCTGTCCTCCTGATCCTTGTGTGCTCCATGTACCTCACCTTCTGTCCTCCAGATCTTTGTGTGCTCCATGCACCTCACCTTCTGTCCTCCTGATCCTTGTGTGCTCCATGTACCTCACCTTCTGTCCTCCTGATCCTTGTGTGCTCCATGCACCTTACCTTCTGACTGACTCCTTGTGTGCTCCATGTACCTCACCTTCTGTCCTCCTGATCCTTGTGTGCTCCATGTACCTCATCTTCTGACTGACTCCTTGTGTGCTCCATGCACCTCACCTTCTGTCCTCCTGATCCTTGTGTGCTCCATGTACCTCATCTTCTGACTGACTCCTTGTGTGCTCCATGCACCTCACCTTCTGTCCTCCTGATCCTTGTGTGCTCCATGCACCTCATCTTCTGTCCTCCTGATCCTTGTGTGCTCCATGTACCTCATCTTCTGTCCTCCTGATCCTTGTGTGCTCCATGCACCTCACCTTCTGTCCTCCTGATCCTTGTGTGCTCCATGCACCTCATCTTCTGTCCTCCTGATCCTTGTGTGCTCCATGCACCTCACCTTCTGTCCTCCTGATCCTTGTGTGCTCCATGCACCTCACCTTCTGTCCTCCTGATCCTTGTGTGCTCCATGCACCTCACCTTCTGTCCTCCTGATCCTTGTGTGCTCCATGCACCTCACCTTCTGTCCTCCTGATCCTTGTGTGCTCCATGCACCTCACCTTCTGTCCTCCTGATCCTTGTGTGCTCCATGCACCTCACCTTCTGTCCTCCTGATCCTTGTGTGCTCCATGCACCTCACCTTCTGTCCTCCTGATCCTTGTGTGCTCCATGCACCTCACCTTCTGTCCTCCTGATCCTTGTGTGCTCCATGCACCTCACCTTCTGTCCTCCTGATCCTTGTGTGCTCCATGCACCTCACCTTCTGTCCTCCTGATCCTTGTGTGCTCCATGCACCTCACCTTCTGTCCTCCTGATCCTTGTGTGCTCCATGCACCTCACCTTCTGTCCTCCTGATCCTTGTGTGCTCCATGCACCTCACCTTCTGTCCTCCTGATCCTTGCTACTTCATATGATATCACCTGTGATCCTGACTATTGCATTTTTGATGTTTAGGAATATAGAAACAATGACAATGATTTCAGATATCTCCCCACATGATATGACGATCTGAGTGACAAGATGTGACTGGTCATTGTGAGTGACAAGATGTGATTGGTCACTGTGAGGGACAAGATGTGACTGGTCACTGTGAGGGACAAGATGTGACTGGTCATTGTGAGGGACAAGATGTGACTGGTCATTGTGAGGGACAAGAACTCTTCTTCCATCAGATTGCAGAGGGCAGAAAGTATATTTTGGGGGTAATATTCATGGCAAGGATTCAGGCAAATAGGGAAGATTTCGGGTGTTGTACATATTTGTATTTCTCTATTTATGACGGGCCGCACAAAAAATGTTTTATGAAAATAAAAATGTTACAAATGAATGTTTATTATTCCATTGAGCCATGTGGTGCCGCCCCGAACTCCATTCACCATGTTCCCCCGTCTCCTTTCCTCTGTGTTCCCCCCACGCTTCCAAGACATGTTAGTAGGATAGTTGGCCCCAAAATGTCCGTCCCTTACAGTCTGCACATTGGCATGGAATGTCGGGAATTCCTGCGCTCCGTTGGCAGACCATAACCAGACCATGCTGGTGGAGACGAACCGGCTCAGCAGGTTTATTTATTACAGCGCAGACAATTTACACAGAACATTGCCATCAGTCCCTACCCTCCAGGAGCTTACAATGTGAGGTCCCTATCTCACATGCATACATAGAGGGCCAACTTATAGAGGAGCCAATGAACCTACCAGCATGTCTTGGAGTGTGGGTGGAAACTGGAGTACCCGGAGGAAACCCACCCAAGCACGTGGAGAACATGCAAACTCCATGCAGATAGTGACCTGGCCGGGATTCGAACCGCTGTGCTGCCCCTGTGCTGCCCAGACCTTTGCCCTGTTTGAAGACAAATACAAATATCGGGTCTTAGAGTGATACGTTGTTAGCTCTTATTATTATTATTATTACTGGCCTAATGCTTATTATATGTCATGGATGGAAGTCACATGACTCCACTTCTATGGTCTGCCCAGGTGATGTCTACCCCAGTCAGGGGATGTCTCCTTTGCCCTGTGCATTGTGTATTAGAATTGTCATTTTGTTCCCATAAAATCCTGTTTTCACCTAATTTTCATCCCTTTCCCCATCTCGGTGCTGCTGATCACCAGCCACTTCCTGTCTTACATAGTTACATAGTTAGTCAGGTTGAAAAAAGCATAGAGATAAAGTCGAACCTATAGAGATATAGTCCAACCTATAGAAATATAGTCCAACCTATAGAGATATAGTCCAACCTATAGAGAGATAGTCCAACCTATAGAAATATAGTCCAACCTATAGAAATATAGTCCAACCTATAGAGATAAAGTCCAACCTATAGAGATAGTCCAACCTATAGAGATAGTCCAACCTATAGAGATAAAGTCCAACCTATAGAGATAAAGTCCAACCTATAGAGATAGTCCAACCTATAGAGATAAAGTCCAACCTATAGAGATCTTCATGCACTCGCTCTGGTGTTGGCTGCACATCATTGCACTGGACCCCAGCGAGCAAGGGTGGACCATGCCTGCTAATGTGTCAGCATGGCTGCTTGTAGTCTCCACCACCAGGGGGCGCATGTGACAGAGCCAAACCATTCAAGTTGCTAACCTCCTGCGGTCCCTTAGTGGAGCACTACGTTCCCTTCTTCAGAGATGGTTCATCCAACATAAATCTGGGTAAAGCATTCGTGAAGGAGGGAACTAAGTGTTTCCAAAAGCTTGCACCTCGGAATATATTGAGCGAGCCACACGAATGGTATGGCCCACGTTTATACGTTCCTATGACTACCCACAGCCAGCACGGAACAACAATCTACCCCGTCATCCTCTTTCATTCATCTGTGTTGTTATGTACGTCTGCTATCATTTTGTATGGGTCACGCGGGGGGCATTTCTGGCAGGATCATCGGGTATTTTCTGTACTTGCTGAAAAATGTCTCACTCTGAAAAGAGAAAACAAATGCAGCCGCCACATCTCAGGACGGGTGAGGGGTGAGCTGCAATATATGACATTTCTCTTCTTGGGTTTAGTTATGGAGGAACATTACTCAGAGTTGTGTCCTCAGGATTTTTGTAACATCCTTTCAGACAATCCCCTCGGGGTGGTGTTTCCTTTTAACAATGTGCCAGAGTGAGAAGATCAAAGTCCGGGTGGGACGGTCAGCGGAGGAGTGCCCTGAGGGTTTGGTGGCACCAGAACAATCGGGAGGAGGAAATAACACCATTTCCCCGGCGCTGCTTATCAGGGCTGAAATAACAATATGTAGAGGATTTCTTGGCCGGGATCAGAATGTTCAGAGTTCTTGTGATCGGCAGCACATCCTGGTTCTAATAACCTAAAGAAATGTCTTCCGATATCAGACAAGACCCACCAAGGTTCTTCCCGTTCTTCTGTCAGGTTGGATTTGAACCGGGACTCACTTTGGTCAGTGCTGAACCTTCAGTCTCGCCCACAGAGGCATTTCCCAAAGTCCTTTAAGCAGCACCGTTCCTTCTCTCCCGCTGCAGTGACCGTAGGCTCTAATGGTCCCCTACACATGCCCCTCGTCAATGAAGGTTGCAGAAGAATGTCAGCTCATGCCTGGTCACACCTGCCCCTCAGTGCCTGGTCCTGTCTTCCTAACTCCTGGTGCATGGGCCTTGATTTTTCACGTGCATCTGAACTTGCTTACCTGCCTGATTCCTTGTGACCTTTGACCTCGATTCTGCCTGGAATGTCTGTACATCCACCACCTCCTCGCTGAACTTTTGCTGATATCATGGACTTCGTTTTTGGATCCTGCTATGAAACATGTCTCCTACCATGTACTCCAAATGTACTCCACCAAAGCCTTTGGACTACCTAGCTATGAAACCGATAACCATCATCTCAGCCATCGCTGCATACCCAAAGTATGTTCTTACCGTCTGATGACCCCTACTTGTTATAGCCACGCACCATCATACTTCCACCACAAGCTTTGGACTACCTATCTACCAAACTTGTAACCACCATCTCAGCCATCGCTGCATACCCAAAGTATGGGGGGGAACTACGACATCTGTTCTTACCGTCTGATGACCCCTACTTGTTATAGCCACGCACCATCATACTTCCACCACAAGCTTTGGACTACCTATCTACCAAACTTGTAACCACCATCTCAGCCATCGCTGCATACCCAAAGTATGGGGGAACTACAACAACTGGGCTTACCAACTGAAGATCCCCACTTGTGACAACCACACACCATCATACTTCCATGTACCAGCTTTGGACTACCTAGCTATGGAACCAAAAACCATCATCTCAGCCATCATTGCATGCCCAAAGTATGGAGGAACTACAACATCTGGGCTTACCAACTGAGGACCCCTACTTGTGACAACCACACACCATCATACTTCCATGTACCAGCTTTGGACTACCTAGCTATGGAACCAAAAACCATTATCTCAGCCATCGCTGCATACCCAAGCTATGGGGGAACTACAACATCTGGGCTTACCAACTGAGGACCCCTACTTGTGACAACCACACACCATCATATTTACACCGACCAACTTTTACCTCAAGAGGAAGCCCATTTATCAGCTCAATCCACCTCCAACACAACCTAGGAGGTCTTTAGGCCTTATTTGAGTTACGGCACATGAGCATCAGGGACAAGACGTTAGCAGTGAGGCCAGGGGCCATGAGTGGGTGGTCTTTGCATAATTAGAGGTGGGGTCTTGGTAAGACCAACCCATAAGTTGCATGTGTTGGTCAGTCCTCGTATATTTAGAGGCGGGGTCTGGGTGAGACCATGGTGGGTGGTCCTTGCATATCTAGGGGGCAAGTTCTGGGATAACCCATAATGAGTGTGATTTGGGTTGGCCCATCTAGAAAGTAGGCGGACGATATGCGGACTGGGGGTGGGGTTAACAGTCCCCCAAGATCCAGGACCATAGTTAGTAAGTATGGTGATGAGACCGGGATCATGTAAAATGTCTCATCAGTGCGGGTTCACTCCTATATACCGATTGGGGCAGAACCTTGTATGGCACCATATAGCGTTATGATTCTCTGCATTCTCTAAGGACGCGAAATAGCCCCAAGGCCCCTATCAGACCATGTGATATTTGCCTTGGGTTCAGGTCACATGGGGCAGTCTGTGTAGAGTTGAGGTCAGA